TGTAACCCTGCGCTCCGTACATAGCACACCCCACAACCCTGCACTCCATACATAGTGCACTCCTCAGTCCTGCACTCCAAACAAAGTGTAGCACTGAACTCCGTACACAGCGCACCCCTCAACCCTGCAATCCATACATAGAGCACCCCTCAACCCTGCACTCCATACACAGCATACCCCTTGACCCTGCAGTCTGTACGTAGCGCACCCCTCAACCCTGCTCTCCATACACAGTTTAACCCTGAACTCCATACACAATGTAACCCTGAACTCGGTGCACCCCTCAACCCTGCATTTCATACATAGCGCACCCCTCAATCCTGCACTCCATACACAGTGTGCCTTGCTCTCCGTACCCAGTGCACCACTTAACTCTGCACTCCATACATAGAGCACCCCTCAACCCTGCACTACATACACAGCACACCCCTTAACCCTGCACTTCGTACATAGCGCACCCCTCAATCCTGCACACCATACACAGTGTAACCCTGCATTCCATACACAGCGCACCCCTCAACCATGCACTCCATACACAGCGCACCCCTCAGCCCTGAACTCTGTACACAGCGCACCCCTCAGCCCTGCACTCCATACATAGTGCACCCCTCAATCCTGCACTTCATACATAGCATACTCCTCAATCCTGCACTCCATACACAGTGTAACCCTGAACTCCATACACAGTGCGCCCCTCAACTCTGCACTTCATACATAGCGCACCCCTCAACCCTGCACTCCATACACAGCGCACCCCTCACCCCTGCACTCCATACACAGCATAACCCTGAACTATGTACACAGCGCACCCCTCAACCCTGCACTTCATATATAGTGCAGCCCTCAACCCTGCACGCCGTACATAGCGCACCCCACAACCCTGCACTCCGTACATAGGGCACCCCCACAACCCTGCACTCCGTACATAGCACCCCCCCCACAACCCTGCACTCCGTATATAGCGTACTCCTCAACCCTGCACTCAGTACATAGCGCACCCCTCAACCCTGCGCTCCGTGCATCGCGCACCCCTCAGCCCTGCACGCCATACATCGTGCACCCCTCAGCCCTGCACTCCATACACAGCGCACCCCTCAACCCTGCACTCCATACGCAGCGCACCCCTCAATTCTGCCTTATGTACACAGCGCACCCCTCAACCCTGCACTCCATACACAGCGCACCCCTCAACCCTGCACTTCATACATAACGCACCCCTCAATCCTTCTCTCCATACACAGTGTAAGCCTGAACTCTGTACATAGCACACCCCTCAATCCTGCACTCAATACACAGCACACCCCTCTACCCTGCACTTCATACAAAGTGCACCCCTCAACCCTGCAGTCTCTGCGTAGTGCCCCCTTCAACCCTGCACTCTTTATGTACCCTGGCAGCCCATCCTCGGAGATGCTGCTCACATTGGGCTTTGTTCCTACCTGCAGTCAGTCAACCTTCATAGTTTTGTGTTCTCTGCTATGCTTATTGCTAATAATAAATTCTAGAATTTTCTGTCTATTGGTGGGTCTTGTCCCCTCCACAGTCTGCGGTGTGCAGGACTGGAGGAGATTGTGTGCTGTAACCTCTAGCAACCAATCAGTGAGCTGTAATGATGTGCAATAACCTCTGGCAACCAATCAGTGAACTGTAATGATCTGCTGTAACCTCTAGCAACCAATCACTGAGCTGTAATGATGTGCAATAACCTCTGGCAACCAATCGGTGAACTGTAATGATCTGCTGTAACCTCTAGCAACCAATCAGTGAGAGGTAATGATGTGCAGTAACCTCTAAGAACCAATGGGTGAGCGGTTAGGGTGTGCAGTACCCTCTAGCAATTAATTAGTGATCAGTAATGATGAGCAGTAACCTCTAATAACCAATCAGCAAGCAAAAATGGTGTGTTGTAAGCTCTAGCAATTGCTCAGTGAGCCGTAATGTGTGCTGTAACCTCTAGGAACTAGGCAGTGAGCAGTAATGATATGCTGTAACCTCTGGCAACCAATTGGTGCCTGATCTGCAGTAATCTGATTTTCAGTCTAGCTGCTATTTATTGTGTGTCTCAGAGTGGGGGGCTGGGGGGGGGGGGGTAGGGAAGCCCAAAAAAAAATTTTGCCATGGGTCCAATCAATACCTGACATAATGTTGCAAAAGATGTTGGTTGTTCCCAGTCAGCTGTGTCTAATATCTGGGACAAGTACAAGTCATATGGGAAGGTTGTAAAGGGAAGTGTACTGGTAGACAAAGGAAGACATCAAAGCATCAACATAGAAAATTTAAAGCAATATGCCTTGAAAACAGAAAATGCACAACAAAACAAACGAGGAACAAAAGCTGTAAGACATTGCCTAAAGAAAATGGGATTTACATACAGAAAAGCCAAACAAAAACCATCATTAACACCTAAACAGAAAAAAAAAAGGTTACAGTGAGTTAAAGAAAAGCAATCATGGACTGTGGATGACTGGATAAAAGTGATATTCAGTGATGAATCACGAATCTGCATTGGGGGAGGGTGATGATGCTGGAACTTTTGTTTGGTGATGTTCCAATGAAATGTATAAAGACGACTGCCTGAAAAAAGCATGTAAATTTCCACAATCATTCATGATATGGGGTTGCATGTCAGGTAAAGGTATGGGGGAGATGACAGTAATTGAATCTTCAATAAATGCACAAGTTAATGTTGAACACTTTTTTTATACCATCAATTGAAAGGATGTTTGGTGATGATGACATCATTTTTCAGGATGATAATGTATCTTGCCAGAGGGCAAAAGCCTTGAAAACTTTCCTTCAAGAAAGACATGTCAATTGCATGGCCTGCAAATAGTCCAGACCTCAGTCCAATTGAAAATCTATGGTGGAAATGAAAGAAAATCGTCCATGACAAGGCTCCAACCTGCAAAGCTGATCTGGCAACTGCAAGAAGAGAAAGTCAGAGCCGGATTGATGAAGAATATGGGTTGTTGATAGTTAAATCATTATTTAAATGTCTCAGAGAATTCATGATAAATATAAATAAACAGCGCAAACATAGAACTCTATATCAAATCAATATATAAAGTGCAAACATATATAGAAAATTATATTAATAGTGAAAGTCCATCATGATAATAGACAACAAAAGTTCATAAATCTCAAAAAATTTGTGCATACTGAAGGTGAGGATTCCTATAGAGTGGATACGAAAGAGGGTTTAGGATCCCATAAAAATTCCTAAAAGGCGTTTCATTCACCTAAATCTGGTGAGTGCATTTGATGTTGGTTTGCACGGGTGGAAGGAGGAAGTTTCCTTTGTATTAGAAGAATTTTTGATCTTTTTTGCACAAATTTTTTGAGATTTATGAACTTTTGTTGTCTATTATCATGATGGACTTTCACTATTAATATAATTTTCTATATATGTTTGCACTTTATATATTGATTTGATATAGAGGTCTATGTTTGCGCTGTTTATTTATATTTATCACATTTTGTGTTCATCACATTGCACAGCAGCAGGATAGATCCTGTAGTAGTAGTGTTTTTCACTTGGCGCAGGAAGAATTTTTAGTTCTCAGAGAATTCAAGCTGTTATAAAAGCCAGAGGTGGTGCAACAAAGTACTAGTGGTGTACTGTAGTGGTTTTCATGATTCCATAATATTTTCCTCAGGATTGAGTGATTCCATATTTTTTTCCTCTGCTTGATCTGCAAAAACAGTTGCAACTGACAGTTTTCTTTCTTTTTTATTTTTTCAGTGTTTTTGAGGCATGTCTGTGATTAGTTTCTTTTTCTACACAATTAAAACAATCGAATGAACATTTTCCGAGAGTGATCATACCATACTTTTTGCCAGGGGTTGTATGATCCAGACATTGTATCTTGGGTATCACACAAATCATTCAACTGTGTCAAAATCAAAGTACTCTAATGATCACCTCTATACAAGTGGTCAGGGAATATAGTGTAGTGTAGCTTCACCTATAGCAGTCCCAGTTCCTATAAGCCAAGCAAGCCTAGTCTTCTGGTACATGGCTTCACCCAGAAATGCCATGTTCGCTCACCTGATGTCTCGCAGGATGTGCAGATGGGTCAGTTCAGGCCACAGGCAGAAACATGGTCATTAAACAGGCCAGGGTTAGATCAGGCAGAGGCAACACTGCACTGGTGTGGTGGTGATCAGGGACACTGTAATTGATGTGGCAATGATCATATTGACTGGTGTGGCGGTGATTATGGATAATATGACTGGTGTGAAGTTTAGGGACAAAGTGACAGGTGTGATGGTAATCATGGACACTGGGACTGGTGTGGTGATCAGGGACAATATGACTGTTGTGGCAATGATTATGGACATTGGGACTGGCGAGGCAGGGATCAGGGACACAGTAACTTAGGGGCAATATGACTGGAGCAACGGTGATCAGGGACACTGAGTGGGTGACAGTGATTGGGGACACTGTGAGTGGGTGGCGGTGATTGGGGACACTGTGAGTAGATGGGTCCCTCCCGTCTGGTTTCACTTTTTGCTTGCTGACAAAGCGCTAGGAGTGGGAGGGGTTATGCTGGGAAGCGTTAATAATTTGCCAGTGTCCACTCGCCTGGAGGTGGGACAATAACCCAATAGTCTAAGAATGAACTCTCCTGTGTTGTACTCCAAGAAAAAAATGTTATAGGTAAATCAGATATCCAGTTTTTATGTATTGATGAACACTTACAATGGCTAACATCAGCAAAGAACGTCTACAACAAACCAAAATCAATGTTTTTTTTAGTTTCCTTTGATTGCATTTGAAAATAACTTAAAAGTAGAATTGCACTAGAATTGTTGAGAACAATTTAACTATAGCAGCTAAATAGTACATTTATTCAAATTAACACATCTGACCTAAAGGCTCAACATTTGTTAAGCAAAGAGTGACTCAAAGATTTGCTTAAAAAACATGGAATGTGCTTCCAAAAGAGGGACAATTGAAGTAATGCCTGTATGCAAGATCCAGTATGTTCTTTTTGTAGGAGGATTCAAGCAGCAGTGAAGCTATGATTGTGGTGATAACCAAGGCTCTGGAGGAAACTCCAAAAGAGAAGGAAGATCTTCTGCAGCAGGTGAGATATTGTACTGTGTGATATTGTGTTTATGTTTTAAGTTTCTATGTGTAAACTAAACACAACGGTCCCAATTTTCCTTTTCGCTAAAATGCAAGCAACATGTTACACATACCTGTATCAATAGGACATCTTAGTTGTCGTCTTTCAGAAAATCTTTAGTTGACATTACTATCAAAGGCCTCAGCTTTCCTGGTGTGCCCTTTATTAAGAAATATCAGAAAAGGAGGTGTGGTCCATGGTAATTGATTAGATTCTAGGTATCATTTTTCTGGTACAGGTGAAAAAAATGTTCGGTTTTAGTCTTTCAGACTGATTCAAATAACCAATACAATCAGTTAGTTTATGACCATCCAATACATATTTAACACAGAATAATAGAATATAGTAATAGCATGGCTCTTTATAAAAAAATTTTATTGTAACCTCCTTTTGCCTAGTAGCTGTGCCGAATCTTGTTTGTTTTTCAAATAGAAACATTTTTCCCTAATATTTCTCTATTTTTCTGTGCTCTTGCTTAATGGCAGGTTACAAACTTAAATGCTCAAATTGAAGAGAATACTCAGGAAGTCTCAGAAAAGAATGAAGAACTAACTAGAAAAGATGAGGAAACTGCTAATTTAAAGACAGGTAAGGTGTATCCCTAAACAATGAAAATAGTACTGCTCGAATGCCTGTTTCAGTCAGATCAGCATGCAAATAGACTGGTGCAAGACAGACGGCCGGCTTGTCAGGCTCTAGAAGACTTCAACAAAATGGCGTTCATCTACATCGACTCCCTTTTGCATAAATGTTAATGAAGTTAGTAATTTATGGTCCCAGCTCCTGTTCGCCACCTGTACAGAACTCCTCAGATGTATTTCGCCCTTTGTGGGGCTTAATCGTAGGCTTCAGTTAAAGTATAATTGGATAGAGTAGAGAGGGGATTAGAATATCTGTCAGTTTTTTTATTGCTGTCTGTGCCCCCATTATAGAGATTCACCCTCTTTATTTGTTCTTTTTATTGTTACCATGAAAAGTGAAAGAAAATCCCAATTTTTTGGTTGTCCCCAGAACAGTAAAAGAGGGGAAACCTTCCAATGGGGACACTAGTTTTGGTGACCCTAGGATTATCTCACTTTGTAGGTATTTACACTCACTTCCTGGTTTGACTGTGAGACCAGAAGTGAAGTGAAATCTCCCCAATGGAAAACAGATGGCAAAAAAATGGAATTATAACCCTCCCCTACTCTATGCTAAATGAAAATAAACTTTTGCCTTTTTGTCCTACTCTAAGTGGAGCTTCACCCAAAAGAAAAAGTTCCACTTTATGCCCTCCTCCACCCTCCTCTTCTACTTTTTGGGATGTTTTTGTTTGTCAAAACTAGGTACCCACTCCCCACTGGAAGTTCTCCCTCATTCTGGGACACATCACAGGTCCCAGGAGGCTGTGGGACCACACACACAAGGCAGCTTGGTTTGTGCATGCGTAGTGGGAAGCCAGCTGTGAAACCGCAAAAAGTTACAGCCAGCTTCCCACGCTGAATGTGCTGGGAACCTGAAGACCAGTGAAGAACCAGCCCAAGCGAGAAAAGCCCTGGATCCCTTAAAAGGTAAGTATCCTTTTATTAAAAGTCAGCAGCTACACTATTTGTAGCTGCTGAATTTTTTTAATTTTTTAAACCTGACTGAAGAACCACTTTAAGATGACAGGAATTTTGACTTACCTGTAAATTCCATATATTGGACTACAGTAGAGGACACTGGCCGCTCTTCTCTTATAATTCCTTGGTTAGTTTGCATTACTTACTAAAAAAAACTGAGGACTCATGGAGTAGGATGTGGTTATAGGAGTATGCCCAGGGGGCATGCCCATCAAAACCTTTGCCAGTGTCCAGTTACCTAAAGGTAGCAGCCTATAACCCCAGGGTATATGACTATCTGGCCTGTGTCCTGTACTGTACTCAAGACATGGAATTAGCAGGTAAGTCAAAAATGTTTAGGCTTTTTACCCTTTATTTCACCTGTTTATCAAGAATGGCTAACAAATTAAAGCTGAACTACAGCCAACGCTTCACAAGTAGCTGCAGCGAAAATGGTTTTCTTTTGGGGTAAAGGTTTAACTTAAATGAAAACTGACCATTGTAAACACCCATATCAGTGTTAAATGGTTTGTCTTAACCCTCTAACTGCTACTTTGTCTGGATAGCTTGGTCTGTTAAAGTAAGTTGAATAACAGACTTACTGACTGGATCACCATTTGTAAAAAAGGGGGGAAAGCCTAAGAAAAGAAAACTAATACAGCCACCACATCTAAGAATTGGTTAGCTTCAATTTAATAAATTTTAGTTTTTGGATTTAAGTACGCTTTAACTGGCATTTATTAGTATTTTATCTTGGGATTGTTTCATCAACTCCACTCTCTTCTAATACCACAATAGAAGCAGTGCATGCAGTAAAAATTTTTTAAAGCCATAGCTGGACCCTGCGCTGTGTGGACGACCAGTAATTTTGCTACGGGCACTGGATTTTTCATGGATGCTGACCTCAATACTTTTGAAAATAAACAGTGAAACTTTAAAGATGCCAGACAATGCAGAACTTAAAAATACTTAAAATATACTTTATTACAGCTGGTATCATTGAAATCAAACATCATAAAAAAACTAACTATTAGTTGCTCCCAACACGTTAGACACGTAATTGTTGCACAGTGTAATCTGTGTTAATTGGACATAGTAATACAATACAGATAATTTAGGATGTTTGTTCACAATTGTTGGTAAACCTCAGAACGTTTTGCAATGCTTGTAGTCAGCTGCAGGGTGTTGTACAGGTTCAGGGCTGTGATCCATATCTTTTGAAACCAGACCCTGAAAACCCTTTGGGGGGGGGGGGGGGGGGGGTGCTCACTGTGATGGGCAAAGCCTGGACTCTATATAGGACCTGGATAGGTAAGGCCAGATCCTCCCATATCTATGATTGTTACTCACTCAAACTTGGCACTGATACTTGACCACTCAGAGCTTAGATGACCAATTGTTATATCATAACACATAAGTCACACTTTATCGCTACTTCCATCTAGAACCCTTATAAAGTCCTCGGGCTCTTTATTCTGCCCCACTTACAAAGGCTGCCCAGGAGGCACTAAACGCTGATGTTTCTAACCTAAAATTAGCTTGGGCTATTAAATCTATCCGTGTCTCTAAGGCCCCTGGCGGCTTCCCTGGTCTTGACTACCGCAAATTCTCTTCCATCCTTACACCTCACCTGACACCTGAAAAATTATAAACTTCCGCATCAACAGGTACCTGCACTCCCTGATCCACAGGCATCAGGTAGGCTTTGTAACCGGTCGCCAAGTGGGTGACAACATTGGGAAGGTGATTCATTTGATCCACTTATTGAACCATAGCAAGATGCCGGACTTCCTTCACTCCCCTGATGTCTACAAAGTCTTTTATTCCCTTTTGTGGGGTTATCTTTGCTTTGTCTTGGAGAGATGGGGCTTCGGTGATTCAATCCCATTGTAGATCTTGGCTCGCTATTCTTCCCCAACAACCCATGTTAAATATGCTGTCCACCTTTATGCCTCTTTCTCTTTTCATCTAAGCACAAGACAGGAGTGCCCCTTATCTCCCATTCTATTTATCTTGGCGCTCAAACCCCTGGCAATAGCATTCAGGGATAGCCCCAATATCTGTGGTATTCAATACGTGGCTGTACCTTACAAGGTGAACTTATTCGTGAATGATGCATTTCTGACTTTAACCAATCCTTTAACTACAATCTCCAACCTGCAGAATCTTCATGCTTTTCTGATCTTTTGGGCCTTTGGATTAATCTCCATAAAATGATGGCACTGAACATCTTACCTCCCTCTATCATGCCACATCTCCAAACATGCTTCCCATATTGTTAGGCCACTTGCTTTCTGAACTATTTAGGAGTCAAACTGACCCCGTTGTATTCCACTCTTTTCGTGACCAATTACTTCCCACTTCTACAAACCATTACCTCCCTCATGCAATCATGGCAATTCCCCTCTCTGTTGTGGATCAGCCACATTCACACAGTTAAAAAGACCATACTCCCTAAAGTCCTGTATTGCTTCAGAACCCTATCTGTCTACATACCCTCCTTTTATTTTATTTTGTCTTTTGCAGAATAAAATCCTCTCTTTAATTTGGGCCTAAAAGTGCCCCAGAGTATAACGCTTTACCTTATATACCCACAGACTGAGGGGTGGGCTTGGAGTTCCCAATGTGTCGAAATACTACATGGCGACACAAATTTCCCAACTCGCCCTACTTCATGCCACCACAGATGTCCCCTTTTGGGTACTCTTGGAGCTTCCCAATTGTGCGCCGATCCCCATGACAGCTCTTCTGTGGCTCCCCCACAGTCCCTCACCCCCTTATGATTCATAGTTTATGAATTTGGGACTCAGTCTGTTATTCGGGCCACCTCGTGTTCTCTTTTCACCAATCCTCTTTTCCCTCCATGCCTAGAGCAGCCGAGAGTATTTCATGGTGGTCGTCCCACGGCTTCACGCAGGTCCACCACTTCCTCACCTCCCGCAACCTTTCTTCATGGTCCTCTTTTTTTCCTTTCAGTACATTTTTTTATTGAATAGTTTTAATATTAAAAAATACAAACTCAACTGCTTTCTTGTGTACAAACAAAAATATAACAATAGAAAGTACTAGTGAAAAGCAGTCGTGCACAGAGAAAACATACCTGTTATAGATGACAACACAAGAGACATGTCAAAAGAACAAAACATCAACTTTAGTGTCGACAAATCAACATGAGAAGCAGATAAAGGACTTTACACTTATAGCCCAGTATTCGACAATATCAAAGGGGGTTATGACGTTGAAATGTACATAGTCAAACAAGAAATACACGGAACACATTGCAGATCATTAAACATCCCTGTTTAATTGGGGGGGGGACAAAGAAGGATCGGAAGAGAAAAAACGTCAAAAGCGTTTAAATCTGGTTTTTGGGGCCTCTACGGTAATAGTGAACTGAAACTATGTATTGGTATAGCAGGGTGTGCATGTCGGATCCATGAGGTCCATGTGTTAAGGAATCTCTCGTGGGTGTCTGAAAGAATTCTAGAGAGTTTTTAATTAACCACAAAGAAGTCAAGACGGTGTTGAACTTCCATGAAGTATATGAACTGTTGTTTCCAGGCTATTGCTATGGTTTGTTTAGCTGCTAGTAGTACATGGATATCCAACTTAAATTGGTATTTTGAAAGGCCTGGGGGTTTAGGTGTAGAAGAACATACCATAGGTCTGTTGGGGCAAGTCAATAAGGAATGGAGAAGTTTAAGGACCTTCTACCAGAACCGAGAAAGCATAGGGCATGTCCACTATATGTGTAAAACTTCTCCTGGGGTGTTACAGCCTTGGAAACAGGTACTGGGGGCAGATGGGTGGAGCTATGCTAGATGGGATGGGACCAAATAACCATGGTCCTCTTTTCAGGATACTTATGAAGCAGTACCTGCAAAGTTTTTCCGCTGTGTACAACTTCACCACTGGGTAACCTCCTTGGGTAATCTCCACCTTTCCCTTTCAATCCACAGCCTTTGAACATACCTGTGCTCTAGGCATTATCTCTCTCATCTACTCTTC